TGACTTGCCATTCGAGGACCTTGAGATGATCGAATTGAGAGGCGACTGGGCTCGCGAAGCCATGAGAGTTCGGAGGAAGGTTGGCTACGGCACGCAGGGGTGAGTGAAGAACGGTCGCTACTGTGCCCGTGAAGGACCATTGGCTGACCTGAATTCCCCATAGCTTCGGAAGTACAACTGGGTATTCATCCCATCTTCACAACCCATTCTTGGCCCTCGTCTCTCCAGACACTACCGAGTCCCAAGGCGAGGCATGGGGATTCTCTCTTGTCTACACAGGCTCGTTCTCCGTTGACGTGGAGAAAGGATCCCAAGGGTTTACCCGTGCCATGCTCGGTTTCAATCCTTACCAGCTCTCGTGGCCTCTTGGACCGGGAGAGACCCTCACTACTCCTGAGGTTGTCGCTGTATACTCGGATGCTGGTGTCGGTGGCGTATCCCGGAAGTTCCACCGGCTCTACCGCAACCACCTCATGAGAGGCCAGTTCGTCGACCAGACTCGTCCAGCATTGCTCAACAGCTGGGAGGGTCTCTACTTTGACTACAATGAGAGCACAGTTTACGATCTGGCACAGGAAGCGGCGCGACTCGGTGTCAAGCTCTTTGTTCTGGACGATGGATGGTTTGGTCAAGAGTACCCCCGACTGAACGACACAGCCGGTCTAGGAGACTGGGAAGTCAACGCGCAGCGCTTCCCCGATGGCCTCCCAGCTCTCGTCAATAAGGTCACCAACCTCGAGATCACGAACACGACAGATAAGCTTCAGTTCGGCCTCTGGTTTGAGCCAGAGATGGTAAACCCCAACTCTACTCTTTACCATGAGCACCCTGACTGGGCTCTCCATGCCGGCAACTACCCTCGAACAATCAGGAGGAACCAGCTTGTGCTTAACGTGGCGCTCCCAGAGGTGCAGGAGTTCATCATTGATTCCGTCTCCAAAATCCTCTCCAGCGCCCCCATCTCTTACGTCAAGTGGGACAACAACAGAGGCTTCCACGAGACCCCCGTCCCAGGCATCGGTCACTCATACATGTTGGGCATCTACCACGTCTTTGAGGTCCTCACCTCGCGATTCCCAGATGTGCTCTGGGAAGGCTGCGCATCCGGAGGCGGTCGCTTCGACCCTGGCGTCCTTCACTACTTCCCTCAAATCTGGACATCTGACAACACTGACGCCCTGGACCGCATCTCCATTCAGTTTGGAACTTCCCTGGCGTACCCCCTCTCTGCCATGGGTGCCCACGTCTCTGCGGTGCCCAACCACCTCACTGGCCGCACGATTCCAATCAAGTTCCGTGCTCATGTCGCCATGATGGGCGGATCCTTTGGCCTCGAGCTGAACCCAGCCGTGATCTCCGCTGAGGATAAGGTGCAGATCCCCGAGCTATTGGCCTTGGGCGAAGTAGTCAACCCCATTGTGATTGGAGGTGATCTGTGGCGTCTCAGTCTGCCAGAGGAGTCCAACTGGCCGGCTGCCATGGTCATCTCGGAGGACGGGTCGCAGGGCGTGCTGTTCTACTTCCAGGTGCGCGCGCTGTACAACCACGCCCTACCGCGGCTTAAACTTCAAGGACTGGACCCGACGGCCAAGTACTCCTTGGATAACAACGGCACCTATTCTGGTGCTACGCTGATGAATACGGGTGTGCAGTACGCTTTTGATGGTGACTACGACAGCCGTGTTGTGCTTATTTCGAAGGTATGATGGAAGCGCCGGATGATCTAGTGGACGGCAGTCTTGCGAAGATGACTAGAGAGACTTTCAAGCAGAAGCCTGAGTGATGACTAGAACTAATCTTAATCACTTGACTCATCCCTCGGGAACCACGGCACAATCCTAGGCCCCTCTCCAAGACTTGAGATGCAACACGTTGCCCATGACTTACCTAGGGTACGCATTGAATAACCCGCAGACGAAATCAATCACTTATGTTAGGTGGGCTACGTATCGATGTTGCTCAAAGAGCACGTGGAATGACGCATTGATGTTGCCGCTCAACTCAAGGGCATGGCCCGAAACCTTGATTGAAGCTATTTCCTATTTCGAGCTTCGAGGCCATTTTGCACAGACTTTCTTCTTTTCGAGCCAATGAAAGACACGGAATTGCGACCCGACGAATCATGAACGAAGCCCGGAGGGCCGGAGCCGACGATAGCACTCGAGTCTCAAGCAACTTTCAAGGCTTGCCGTGATTTCAAGCTTGCAACATTCTCTCAGTGGCTCTCTTGAGTGGGCAAATAGACACCGTATCAAATGCCTTGACAGCAAGTAAGTGGAGATCCGAACATTATTTGGCGCGGATTTCAATCGCACTCGCTCGCCTCTCAGAGACTCACTTGCGGCTTGTCAAAATGGATGGAATTCGATCCCGGCCGCAGCCTCCAAGAACCGCCAATAAGTCGAAGTCCCGCCCAACTACCCGAGTCAAGACCGGCTGCAGGACCTGCAGGTGCGCTCACATCATTTCGTGTTGTATTTTCATGAGAATACCTTCTAATTGATACTGAAATTCAGGATCCGAAAAGTAAAGTGTGATGAGACCCGGCCAGCTTGTCGACGCTGTGTCACCACAGGCAGGACCTGCGATGAGTACGGCATTTGGAGTTCTAGAACCCAGAGTCCAGCCCCATTCATGTCGCAACAGGCATCATCTATTTCACTTCGCAACATCCGCACCTCCGTCTCGGGGCTGTCGGACGCTGAGAAGAGGCTGTACGAGTGGTTTTCACGTCGGACAATCGCCAAGCTGGCAGGGATATTCGACTCTACTTTCTGGGAAACCATCGTGCTCCAGACCAGCTCGAGAGAGCCCGCCGTAATGCATGCGATCTTGGCACTTGCCTCCGTTCACAAGAAACAAATGACCGATGCCGGCTCTTCGCCCAATCGGAGGGTCTCTCCTTCCTTAGACGTCCAGGAACGCAGCACATTACAGCACTACAACAAATCAATAGTCCTTCTTCGAGAACGTCTGGCCTTGAACAATCCCATGTCGGCACGAGTGGCTCTAGTTTCTTGCATTCTATACATATGTCTAGAGTATATGCGTAAGAGATTCAGGGCAGGCCATTCTCATCTGAACCACGGCTTGAACTTGTTAAGTCACACCATGCCTGATCTCAAGTCCGGAAACGGCATAGGCGATGCTCGCTGCAACCAGGCGTTAGATCCCATGGTCGGATGCCTTATTGACACACTCTCACAGCTCTACTATCAAGCGAGATCACTGAGAGGTCCATTTAGCCAGGAAAGGCAGACCGATGGACTGCGTCCCTTGAGACAGCTCCCCGACTTTTTCGGGTCATTAATTGAAGCTCGGAATCATCTAGATCAACTTCTAGTCAGGGCTCAGCGACTACGGCGATGTTGCCTAGCGAGTGCCACAAGTCCCGACGTGTCTCAAGCATTCGAGATGCTTGTCATTCAGTCATGTCTGAGGAACGACTTGATATCATGGTCGCGCGCGTTCAACCTTATGAAAACTAAGAGGTGGACTCATCTATCCGCCCGGGAGCGTTTGCCTTTCCGCCTCCTATCTGTCTATCACACGATGGCACACATCATCACGGAGACATCTCTTCATCCGGGCAATGAGCTCATCTTTGATAAATTCATCTGGCATTTGGACATGATGGCGGAGTCATCCAAGGAGATCCTTACCGCGGCAATACCCACCATTGCGGCAGATCTCTCGTCCGGGCACTGTACAACCAAGTTTAGTTTCACTGCCGACATGGGTCTTATACCACCGCTTTACTACGTCGCCCTGAAATGTCGCAAGTCACGCACCCGATGGCAAGCTATCGAACTCATCACTGATGGCTTGCACCAGGAACGAATGTGGGACGCGACTCTCGCGGGGACCGTGGCTTCTGAAGTAATAAGAATGGAGGAAGGGGACTTTTACGAAAACGTATCTTCGAGGAACCAGGTCTTGGAGACCAAAGGCCTCGCTGAAGAACAACCAACTCCACCGACATTGCCAAATGATCGTAGATTGCTCAACGTTCGGTTGCTACTACCAGACGATTCTCTAGGAGAGTTGGCTTTCTCAGGTACAATGAGATGCCCAGACGGTACGTTGAAACCTTTCAAGAAGGTCTACGACGCGAAGACCCGGAACTGGACGTTTGCGGGAGTACTTTAGCTGGAGAAAACACCTCGAAGTAATCATTCAAATGTGTGAAGAGATGTTTTCACAGACGTCTAGAAGCTCTATGGTTTGAAAAGGATTGGACTTGGCGCTCTGGACATGCTAATTTAGCCTACTTCCTCTATGGGCATTCGATCGGCTTCTTTGTCCCCTGCAGCTGCGATTTGAGACTATGTATACTACTTGGCATTGAAGAATAAGTGTCAAACACAAACTCTAGCTAGTCAAGCTTGAAGTGTCCCGTGAATTCTCAGCCTAAGTTAAGCAACATACCCAGATGAGTCTCTCTTGGGCAGCTGCCGTTCTTCTCGCTGGTGTCTCTCTTTGGCAGCATTTCCAACCTTAGACCCCAACTTTGTTACGGCTCGAATATAAATAAATACACCAAAGGAGTTGAGAACGAGGCGGTGTTACTCTGCCTATTTCGAGCTACCAGTGTTAAGCTTGATGTTGCGGTTTGCCCGCTCGCAAAGCGTGTCATCCTATTGGCTGTCGGACATTCGGCCTGAAATTCTTTGCGTGCTGCCCCAGATCCCCGATGGACCAGAGTATATGATTCGGGATAGAAGAGAAGATCCAGATGAAATTGACTCTTACGAAAATGTCTATAAAGACGCGGATTTCCTTGACTATCTCATGACCTAATCTTGATGCCAGCAGTCGCTTCATGGTCACCACCCTCCTAGCAACTTGTACCGCTCAACATACGTTACCCAGCCAGCATTCACGGACACCAAATGGCATGCAAAAGCGCATCCTGGCTCCCTTCACGGGACATCACATCCCTACAGGGCAAAGTGATCCTCATCACAGGCGGGAGCAATGGCCTCGGGCGCCAATCAGCCATGGACCTTGCAAAACACAACCCAGCTGAGATTTGGATCGCGGCCCGGAGTGCTCCCAACGCCCAAACCGTCATCAACGCAATCGAGAGCACCTCCCCAACGGTCTCTGTCAAGTTTCTAAAGCTCGATCTCACTTCCTTTGAATCTATACGCAACGCTGCAACCACATTCCTCTCAGCGGCATCCCGTCTCGACATCCTCATCCTCAACGCGGGCGTCATGAACGTCCCTGCTGGAAGTGTGACGCAGGAGGGCTACGAGATGCATTTCGGGACCAATCATGTTGGTCACGCCTTGTTCGTCAATCTTCTTGTTCCCATCTTGCGAACGACAGCCTCCGAAAGTGATGTTGGCGGCGGAAAAGCCGACGTCCGCGTCGTCTTCGTCAGCTCCGTGGCTCACAAGTACCCACCTTCTGGCGGTCTGCAGTTCGACAGTTTCCATCCAAATGGCCGAAGTAAAAGACTTTCGGCAAATGCTCTCTATGGACAAAGCAAGCTCGCCAATCTGCTGTACGCACGGGAGATGGCCAAGAGGTACCCTCAATGGACGACCGTCTCCATCCACCCAGGCACAGTCAAGACCGATTTGCAAAAGTCGACGGATGGCAGTCTGCTTATTAGAGCATTTCAGAAAGTGGTCGTTCCACTCATCGGAGTCGACGTAGAGGGGGGCGCGAGGAGCCAGCTGTGGGCTGCTACTGCCGATGGGGTTGAAAATGGCGAGTACTACGAGCCCGTGGGCGTCGCTGGCAATGGCAGTGCTTTCGCAAAGGATAACAGCCTCGCACTCAAGCTGTGGGATTGGACTCAAAAGGAGATTGAAAACATGCATATCTGAACATGAGGCTCGATCATCTGCCGGGCCTTCTTCAGAACAGTAAGACGGCCTGATACCTTACGCTAGGTCATTGCTTGAGGTGCCGCACAACTAACAAATCCAGATTCATTCGTGGAGCATTTCCTTGGAATCTTGGGCTTTAAATGATTGAAGAGGTGGTGGGACCAAAATAGAAAACATGTCAAAAGAAAGACTTCTCTCCTTCGCTCAATTGACTTGCATCCACATCAGTCCTGAGCAGCGTCTCCTCAGCCAGCACAGGTGTACTTCCTTCACCAAATAATCTCCACTGCGCGGGGGCCGGGATGCCAAAGTAAACAGCCGAAAGAATACTCCAGGCCCTCAATGGCTTTCCGCTGGTGAAGATGCGCCCGAACAGCTTTCCAAAAGTCGGTGCCGCGCCCAACGGTGCCAGCAGACCGTCCATATACTTCACAAACTCCACATTTAGAGCGTGCCTGTCCGAGTCGATCATGTGCTTCTTCCGCCAACCCCTCATCGTGCGGATCTCCCTCATCATCTCCTCCTCACCGGGCAACTTTACGCTTCCCTTGATGACGGCGGCAATGTACCGTGCCTGCGCCTCGGAGACTGGTGTCACGGGTCCGGCTTGCTCGGTCTGGCCCATGACATAGAGGTCTTTCCAAGTGGGCGGTACGATGGACTTGTACAAGTCAACGTGCGGGGCTGGCGCCTCTTTGCTGGCCAGCGCGCCTGGTGGGAGATATGGCTGGTCGACGATGTGGTATCCGGTGGCAAGAACGACTACGTCGGCGTCGAGGGAATCGCCATTCTCCAGAATAACACCAGTCTCGGTGAAGGAGGCGATTGTGGTGCGACGAAGGGAGAAAATACCGGTCTGTAGCTTTTCAACGAAGTCGCTTCGGATGGTGGCGTTCTGTGCCATGAGGCCGTGATCTGGCTGAAGCTCCGGTGGCATCTTGCCTTGGGCATGGTTGAGTATCTTCTCAAAGAGCCACTCCTGGACGCTTGCGGGAAGCCAGGTCTGGCTGCTACGGCCTGTGAAACTGGGTCAGCAGAGGATCCAATCAAGGGTTTGGCATGCAACGGGAAAGACGTACTGTCCCACGCCTCTGTGGGTTTACCCAGGACGAATCGAGGCAGAACCCAAGCGCCTCGACGGTTAACAATTGTGAGCTCTTTTGCCAGCGGGCCAACTTCACACGCAACGTCGATGGCCGAGGACCCAAGACCGACGAGGATGACCTTCTTGCCCTCGTAGGCGCTAGGCTTGCGATAGGAACGACTATGTAGCACTTCACCCTTAAAGGACTCTCTTCCCTTGTATTCGGGGACGAAGGGCTTGCTGATAATGCCAGTTCCGCAAATCAGAGCATCAAATGCGAGCACTTCTTCCCCGTTGCCATCCTTCTCGCTTCCCCTACGGACCCTCACCTCCCAGCCGCCCTCCTTGCGAGGCTCGCATCCCACGACTGTCGTCTCGTAACGGATGTGCTTCTCAAGGGCAAAATGCGCGGCGTACTCATTCAAGTACCGCAGATGGAGCTTGTGGGAGTAGTAGATCGGGTACCGCGCCGGATCAATCGGGAAATCACTGTAGCCCGTGGTCAACCGGCAGGAGTTGAGCATGACACCGGGGTACATGCCGGAGCTCGTCTCTGCACTCGGATCGGGGTTGTAAAGCCAGAGCCCGCCGAGCGCGGGCGCGCGCTCGAAGCACAGCACCTCCAGGCCCGCTGCAAGGCATTCTTTGATAGCGACAAGACCGCTAGGTCCTGGGCGTCGTTAGCGTCCTTGTCATATTCATGAAGGGGCTACTTCGGAGTTTCTCTTACCTGCGCCGACGACGGCGACGCGCTTGCTCTGAGATTCCATCCTTGGTGGGTGTTTGGCACGAACACACGAAGATCGCCGGAGAAGCAACGTGGATCGAGATGATAACTTCAAATGCCTGGGGCAACGGATGTATTCAACTTATCTGGTTTCGCGTTCGCAGGAAGTACTTGTGCTGGAATTCCCCCCTGATTGCACTACTCCTTTGTATTCTCGTTAAGTGCTGACGGGCGTCAAGCTAGCGTATACCACCGCAGCCATCCCTGCCTGTGTAAGCACGAATACTGGTGCCTGCCAATCCCTAGAGTGGTGGTCAGCAATGTGATTGAGGATTGAAGGATTGCCAGCAGAATATTAGTGGAGAGATAAAATCTAGTTATGGGCTGTCAAACCAATCTCCTGGGTCAGCAGTTGTATGCACGTTGACTTTCACTTCCGGAATGGTTTTACAGCCACCACTCCCAACCGCTAGAGCGGTCCACGCCTGTCAAAGGCATGAAGCTTCTGGTGCGTATTCAAGCTCCAGACCGACTGGGACTGGCATTCTGACTATACCTAAGTGTGCCAGGATTGTGTCAAAGTTTCGCTTAACATGTAGAAAAATGGAGGAGTTTGCGTGACAGGTGACGACGTCGCTTCCAACATCTTTAAGATCTATGAATCTATCGTAATCACTGCAGCTGCAGCTTCTATTTGGTAATGACAGCTACTTCACAGCTTCCTTTCTCCCAGCCCTTACTGACCAGCAAGGAACCCGTTGATGTTGGCGGTGATATCAACCAACGGCCACTCAGTTCGGTTGCCGGCCAGCGTTCCCGCGACCTTGGCGTCACCAAAGTACTCCGTTACAGAGTAGACGCTGCCACCGATCTGCACAGTCGTCACTGTCGAGCCTCCATCAGCCAGGTACGCGTTGGACACGGTTCCTATGACAGCAGCGGACTCCCACTTAGCATCGGCCGAGTGCAGTACCACCGTTCCCTTTTCGTTATCGGAGACGAGGATGACGGTTCCGTTGTAGCGGGAGGGGATCGAAACGCCGTCGAGCGCTGCGCCGATGGTGTCCGCCGAAGTAAGAGGGACCCGGACCGGCGTCGAGCCCGTGGCATTGGCGGTGTCGAACCGGTAGAGCTGACCGTCCGAGCTATCGGCGACGAGGAGCGCCTTCCCGTCGGGGGAGGACACGAGCCCGGAGAGTCCGTGGATGGAATGATTGGCGGGCGTCTTGAGGTACCACGCAACGGCCTTTGAGCCGTCGGGGCTGATGCGGATGATGCTGCTGGGGAACGTGCCGAGGGCGTACGTGGTGCCGTCGGGGCCGTGAGCAGTGTCTTGGAAGCCGCCGTACACGCCGCCGGTAACCTCGGTCAGGTTGCGCTGCCACAGCACCTCCTTCTTGGTGAGATCGTACTTGACGAGGATGTTGTCGCCCGTGATGTTCTGGCCGCCAGTGTCGAAGGCGGAGCCGGCATCGATGATGATAGAGAGGCGGTCGAGGGGATCGACGCGGACGCCGCTGGAGTGAAGTTCGGGGTTGAAGCTCAGGCCTGGGATCTCGATGGTTTGGATTTCGGACGTGGTAGGGTTCCAGGCAGCGACACTGGCATTGTAGAGGACACTAATAGGGTTAGCTTAGAGCACTTTTCCGTCGCGGTGAGCGTCTCTCGGTATGGACTGGGGGAACCTTACCTGAAGTAGGCCACACAGCGCTTGGTGTCGAAGTCTGCGTTCTCGGGGTACAGCTGGAATGAGTTGACGGTCTGATTCCCGGTCACCTGGGCGCAAGCCGTGGTAGCATTATGATACTTTGTCGGGCAAGCTTGGATGGCCGGCAAAGCCAGCAAAGGCAGAACGAGGGTGAGAAGTCCGGACATGGTAATGAGGGTTTTGTAGTATTGTCAACGAAAGTCAGTTGTTGGAGATGGTATCTAGAGCTCTTCCTGTCCAACCCGGGACATTGTGAAGCTTATATCCTCACCTCTCCGTCTACCAATCTACCTTTCAACACTTACAAATGCAGAAGACTTTACGGATACAAAAACCGCAGCACGTCAGCGCATGTCATCTCATTTCTTCGCGATGCTACGGCTGGGACCGAAGAGGCCCCGCATCCATGGTATGCCCCGGCACGGCAGTGCGAGTTGACTCGTGCGCGCGCGCGGTCCGAATGGAGACAAGCAGAATGCTTTTTCAGCCCTACGGATCCAAAGAGCATCCGACGGGAGCTAATTTCTGTTAAGCTCTTCATCATCTTCATGCCCAGCAACCTCTACAGATTTAACATAGATCTACACTACGGATACTACGTGACATGCCAATTACCCTGCCAGCCTTTGAATCAGTCCCGCTTTAGGATTGCTCAGGTTTGAGAGACTCAAGCCATTTCATAGCAACTTTGTTTACAGAATATAGGGACGATCATAACTGTAGACGCAGCCCGGGCCCCAGTACACCCAGGCATCTAAGACTTCTGATAGCTGTTGTCTGCAGAATACCGTATTGAGCAACCTTGCATTTGTAAAGTCCTTACTAGCCACTTTGAGAGAAAATATCCCGACCTTGGCGACCCACAACGAGCAGCATGTGGTTAGTCAAGGCAGAAAAGGAGTACAACACCCTTCTTAACCTTCTGTTGGTAGGTTTCATACATGGCGAAGCAAGCTTGGATGACGTGATCTGTGCTCAACTCAAGTTCCATGGTAACGCATCACCTCCGGAAAAATAATTGTCTATTTTACATGGCTGTACAACTCGTATTGACTTTCAAGTAGGTAATGCCAACGTCGGCTCCGATCACCGACTACGGAAATCGGTTTCCGAGGGCTGCGGAAAGCGCGCGGCGTGCTGAGCCAGCAAGCGTGCGTCGTGTACGAAGAACTATGCTCGCAATACCACCTACCATAGCTCTTTAACTCGAGAGAAGCTTCCAGAGCCCTGTTACGTTAGTCGACAGGCATTAGACATATCTTTCTCCGAAGTAAAATACTCTCTGCCGCCGGATTCCGGCGATATTGACCCCACTCTCGGCATGTTGCCCGGTTCACGGGTCCACTCGGACCGGGCAGCTCGGTAGAAGGGGCCTGCCGGAGCGGGACGCAGTAGCCTGCAACCTACATTAGTACCTTAATGCCTTGTACGACACGAAATGATGGGACGTAGGCGGGGTTGATCGCAAACATCACATT